ACATTAAGGAGACTATGAAAGGATTAACTGATCGTGTTGGGCGGATCGAAGCAACGGTGGATTTGTTGGCGACTAAGGGTAAGAATCTTTTTGACAATAAGAATAATTTTAAAACTGCTTTTAACACTGCAGATGCTAAAAACGGTTATGAGATGAGACCAGAATTTACTAGCTCCTTTGCATCTTCAGATAATCGTCGTGAAGCTCGTGCTGCATACACTCCTCCACAAAGCGGAATATTTGGTGGTCGTGATGATCAAACGATCATCGTTAAAGGATTTGACTTTTGCCTTCCTGAGTTTCATATCAAGAGCTTATTGACTCATTATTTCAGTTCATGTGGAGTGGTTATAAGCGTTGTTATTCCAACAGACCAAGAAACCGGTGCGGCCATAGGATGTGCTTACATTCGTCTAATGGAAGGCGTAGAGAATGCTTTGAAACTTAGTGGAACTTACTTGAGAGGATGGAAACTTGTAGTTGAAAAGGCTACACCGTTAAGTGACGTTGGTGGCCGTTTTGATCCTTCAGGCAGAGGAGGTGGTTGGGCTTATCCCTACCGTTGTAACGGTCTCGGCCATTGTTCCACCTGTTGAGATTTTGGTGGCGGAAGAAGAGACGGCTCTATAGGAAAGAAGACTTGCCTTCATGGTTATTCCACTAGATTTCTTTGATGCATACACATACATCTTATACCCTTTTCTTACATTTTAAAGGTGTCACCTCTTTGTAATTATCTTTGAAAATGTTAAGATATATTCAAAAACTAATCAACTCTTATGTCTATATTGACATTTTTTTTATTATATTTGGCCATTTCAAAAAATTACTTTTTTTTTTCTAACAAAAGCCTATTAATACAACCGTTTTTAAAATAAAAGCCTTAACACAAGGTCTTTAAAACATTCAACCAAAGATAGTCTTTCTTGGGATCAGGAACATGAGTTTCTGCTTCACCTGAACATGAGTTCCTTGGCTTTGCCTCGACTTTTGCCTAACAGCAATTTTCAAAATACTTTTTCCTCTCTTGAAATGTTCTTCTCCATCTCTACACTGGTTTACAACTGCAGAACCATGTTCGCTCTTCTGTCCTTTAGAACTCGCATCCTTCAGCATCTCTTCGGTTGGTGGAATGGATGTCTCTGCTCCTTTCTCTACTACAGCAAGAACAAGTTTCATCGCAACTACTACATCGTTGAGGCAAGAATAGACAGAATTGGACTGACTTGACATATCATATCCCAAAATACACGTGCAGAGATCATTCAAGGAAGGTTTTTCAAGGGTTGGAGAACCAGAATAGTCATATGTAAATACAGGCGAAGTATCTATTGCCCTTGCGTGGTCCATCTTCAATACTGTTAAAACCTTGTTCAGAGCGTGACCTACTACAATAGTTTCTGTGGAAACTAACATGCGCAATATATTTCCTTTATATCTGCCACAGATATATAGAAAAGTAGCATCATCAAGAATTTGAGAAGTGTGTCCATGATATCGGTCCTGAAGTCATAAACGGGTTGATTCGGTTTCACAAATTTGTTTAGAATCACCTTGAAATCACGGTCAGCTGCAACAACTCTAATAGGAGTTCCAATCCCATCTTCACAAAGCACCATATCACAACAGAGTGAAATCATTTCAGTTTTGTACTTGTTACTTCCAGTCCCCGTCACAAGCCAGTCCTCAGGGTTATTATGCGGGGACAGATAGTACTCTATAGGAAGGTCATCCGAACAAGCCGCCCCGCAACAGTTTCACCGTGAGACAACTTCTTTGAATAATGATGACGAAGAACACGGCTAGGGCTCGTAAGCCAAGCCATTAGCAGCTGCACATCCTCTTTCTTGCTTAGTGTAGTAAGGAAAGCAATTGAAGCAGATGGTCCTCGAAACGAAGGACAAGGAAATAGATGTCCATACTCTGGGTCGTAGACTTTCAGAAATTGCTCCCATGTCCCATTGTGGCCTTCCAAACCTCGAGTACGCATACTATTGATGTTCCATTTCCTATACATTAATATTATTTTCAATTGATAGTAATTAAGGTTAATACAAAAATATTAAAATAATATTATTTTAGTTAATATACGATAATATAATATTTTTAAAAAAACAGAGATTTTTAAAACTAAAAGTTAAATTTTGATATATGTTGATCAACATTTTGATATTTTAATAAAATCAAGTATAAATTATTGCTATTAAGATGTATTAAAATTTATAGTTTTATGATTGTTTTATAATTAGATATAACTAATTAATACAACTAGATATATTTAAGATGTAATTTGATACGTTTAAAAGTACTAAAAAAAATTAACATAATTTTTAAAATTAAATAACATTAAAAATATTAATGAGATATTTAGTGAGTATCTCATGAATAAAAGTAGTATTTGC